TTGCATTTACAACCCTTTCCTACTGATTTCTCCTTGCCCATTTCTACACACACACTCTCTTACAGCTCAAAGCTGTAAGAAACCCATTTAACAAGAATACGCTTTGCTCCCTTGTGCTGCTGGACCCAGGATATGGTCTGAATATGATTTGACAGCTCCCCCACCACACACACACACACACACACACACACACACACACACACACACACACACAGAGACAGGAGTTTGATCCCCACAGTCTTGTGTGAATGATATTAAAAGAGTAGAAATTTAATCCCACTGTTGTGTTTGGATTGGGTCCTTGGAGTGGATCTCCAATGATTGAACCCCAATGGCTTTATAAGGAGATGTTGAGAGACCATACAGAAAAAAAGACATACTTACACTCCCATTGTAGTATGATACAGCCTGTGGGGGTAGGGAGGACTTTCCAGTGCCTGCATAATGTTGTGGACTTCTAGCCTCCAAAACTGTGAGTTAAATAAACATCTTTTATTTATAAAGCAGTTCGTCTTTGGTAATTCATAACAGTAACACAGGGCAGATGTCTTAGAACTCACGTTTCTCTATGTGTGAATGTACCAAACATTCACACAAAATCCTCTAAATTTCATATTTTAAATTCACCTTTTATTGCTAAATATAGCACAAAGCAAATGCACACCTTAATACGAGATCATAAGGCAAACACTTTGTAGCCTATACCTAGGCTAGGATATAGCAAAAACTCACCAAATTAAAAAGAACCCCACATGCTCACTTCTTCCAGATGTGGTTCCTGCCCCTCACTCTCTTTAGAAGTAGCCACTGTCCTAACATTTAGGATGGCCACGTCCTTACCTCTTCTTTCCCCAGTGCTGGAGATGGAGCCCATTGGAACCCAAGGCCTTGAGCATGCTAAGCAACTACTCTACCACTAAGCTACACTCCCCGCTCTTTACTTTCTTTATATTTTAATCCCCTAGAACATACCTGAGCATAATAGTTTACATTGGCCTGTGGCTGAGTTTTTAATATGCTCTTTTAGGATTTTTCTTCAAACTATAAACTCCCATCCATCTTTTTCTTTTTAATTCCCTTGCAAATTATTTTCAGGAACTACATTGTTGTCCTATAGACTACCACAGGCTATATACCTTGCAGCGGTATAATTTAATGTGCTCCTGTTCTTTCTGTTTCCTATTAACTTGGTACTTGGATCCAGATTCCAGCTCAATGTTTTTGACAGGACCACTTCATAGGTAATGTGTTCTCCATCAAAACACATACAATGTCTTTCTTTTCATGATGTTAGAAGCCATGAATGCTAAGTGACTAGATTTTTTCAATTCCATTAGGACTCCATAATTCATTGTTCTTTTATGTGCTGGAATGATTTTATAGAAAGAAATGTCTCTTCCTATACTATTTGGTTATGCATTAGTACAAGTAATATAGTAAAGCCAAGAAAAGGGATTAATTATTTCCCCTTACTTGCCAATTTTCAAAATAAACAGTTTATGAGCTTCAACCAAGGTTTCTGTATTAGCTCAGGCCAGAATAACAAAGTACCACAGACTGGATAACTTTAACAACAGACCCTCTTTCCTCATGGTTCTTTGGGCTGGCAATCTTAGACCAAGTTGTCAGCAGGCTTGGTTTCTCCTGAGGCCTCTCTCCTTGGCTTACAGACTCTGTCTTCAACTACATCTTCACGTGGTCTTTTCTCTGTGTATATGCATCCCTTATCCTCTGTGTATCTAGTTTCCTCTTCTAATAACCACACCAATATGATTGGGTTATGGCCAACCCTAAAGGCCTATTTTAACTTGATCCCCTCTTTATGCCCCATCTCCAAATACAGTCACATGCTGAGTTGCTGTGGATTACAGCTTCAACTAATGAATATGGAGCCCACAGTTCAGTCCATCATAGTGTCTAATGAGGCTTTTGTAATATAGGTATGAATAGTATTAATAATATGTATGGCTGCCATAACAAATTATCACAAGTTTAGCAACTTAAAACAACATGAGTTTATTCACACTGCTAAAGTGGTGCAGATGAAGGACTGAGGTCCCTTTCTCAACTTCCAGAGGCCACATCTTGGTTCCTGTTCTCCTTTATCTCCAAGCCAGCAGTGGCAAGTAAGTCATTCTTATGCTTGGAATCTCTCTGGCCTCTTCTGCCAGTGCTGACTGGCTTTTCTTCTCCCTCCTCCACTCCTAACTATCTTATGCTTGCCTTAGGTCCACCTGGACAATCATCAACATCTCATTGCTGTTGGTTCTTAACCTTAATTCCATCTGCAAAGTCCCTTTACTGTACAGTTAGAAATTAGGACATGACAGCTTTAGGAACCATTACTCTGCCTACCGTAATATGCATTTGAAAAACACAGAAATACATTAAAATAATAATTCCTGTGTGGTTGATTTTTCTTTATACATTTGGGTTATTCCATCTTTTCATGCAATACACACATTTATACTCACAAAAATGAGGCAACTTATAAAGCAAAAAACATGGAATTTGTAGATAGATGCCAACTACAAATCCTGGACAATTTATTGATCATGTGACTCTCAGCCTCGTCACATCCATAAGGGTGATAATTACTTCTTCCTGGTAAAATTGTGGTGTGGATTACAGGGAAACTTGTGAAAGAATTGACATAGAGGCCTGTATGAAATGTGAGTGCTGCCTCCTCTCCTGAAGTCAGCTCCACCATAGCCTCAAATATCCTCCAAACTCTGACATTCTATTACAGCTGCTGCTTATATGTGAAATTTTTCAGAAATAATTTGTCTTTCATTTCTTGAAAACCTAGGTCTCATTGTGAAGTGGTTTACCCTCTCTAGGAACAAAAAACTGGCCTGGCTGAGCTGGGCTCCCTGTTCTCTCATCCATTCCTTGGAATGGCAGTGCAGCTTCTTCAGTGTCCAGCAATTATTCAGTGTTACATTCAGGACTTTCAGCTCTAAAATCCTTGACTCAAATTAGGCAAAAGTCAAAATGAGTTAACCTACAGAAGATGCTCAGTCTGGCACATGACAGTGTTCACTAAATGTCAGCTTGTCACTATTACCATTTCATTATTAGCAGCAGTAGTAAATGTATTTTTGAATTAAAATAGCCAATTATTCCTAAATAATAGTGGCCCTTCCTCTTCTTTTTTACATTTAAAACTTTTCTCTCAATTAGAAGAAAACTGATGCAAAAATGGGCAAAGGACTTGAATAGACATTTCTCCAAAGAAGATATACAAATAGCCCATAAACACATGAGAAAATACTCAACATCATGAGTCATAGAGAAATATCACCTCACACCCACTACTTTTTTAATTATATTATTACTGTACTGAGTTACATTGTGACATTTACAAATGTTCTTACAGTATATCAGTTTAATTCACCTCCTCCATTTTTCTTCTTTATCCCCATCTTCCCCATTCCTGGAATAGTTTCAACATGACTCATTTTTCCATTTTCATACATGAGAACATAATACTTCCACTACATTCACCTTCCTACACCCTTTCCTTATATCTTCCCACCTTCCACTGGTACCAACCCCAGACTGGACTTGTTGCCTTCCTGTTCTGTTTTTTTTTAAAAGGCATTTTTGTTTAAGATAGCTATACAAGGAGTTTCCTTGTGACATTTCCATGTATATATGTTTTATATCCCAAATTGGTTCATCCCCTCTATTTTTCTCCTTTCTACCGTAGTTCCCTTCTTATGGTGATTTCAACAGGTTTAAAAATTCTATATTCATTCTTGAATAAAAAGCACATCAACCATATTCACCTTTTCAACGTCCTCTTTTATCCTCCCTTTCCCATTAGTGACCTCCCTCTAGCATAACCTAGTTTTCATAGTATTCCTTGTGTTTGTATTGTGTCTATCTCCCACATATGACAGAAAACATGTGGCCTTTGTCTTTCTGAGCCTAGCTTACCTCCCTAAACATGATGTCCTCCAATTACATCCATTTATCTTCAAACCACATGGTTCCTTTCATTCATCCTGATGACTGAATAAAACCTCATTGTGTGTGTGTGTGTGTGTGTGTGTGTGTGTGTGTGTGTGTGTGTATCACATTTTCTTAATCCAGTCATCAGTTGTAGGGCACCTGGGTTGTTTCCATAGCTTGGCTATTATGAACAGTGCTGCAATAAATATAGGTGTGCAAGTATCTCTATTGTATAGGATGGCTATTTTTTAAAAAAGAAAATAACAAGTATCCATAATAATTCAGAGAAATTGGAACACTTGTGCACTGCTGATGGCATATATAATGATATAGCTACTGTGGAAAATGATATAACAATTCCTCAAAAAAAATTAAACATATCTAGAAATATCAGTTCTGGGTATGAACAGTAGGAAATCAAAGACATTTTTGCATATTATATAACAGCATCATGATTCCCAATAACTAAATGTTGGAGACAACCCAAGCATGCACATATGAATGAATGGATAAACAAAATATAGTATCTGTGGGCATGGAATATAAGACACCTTTAAAAAAGGCAAGAACCATCTGGGCATAAGTGATATATACCTATAATACCAGCACTGGGAGGCTAAGGCAGGGAGATGGTGAGTTTGAGGCCAGTCTGGGCTACAAAAGTGGAGCAGGAAGAAGGAAAAAGAAGGATTAAGGAATCCTGTAGCATACCACAACATAGAAGAATCTTGAAAACACTAAGCTAAGTAAATAAAGCCATTCACAGAAGGTCAAATATTGTATGATTTACTTATATAAAGCAACTAGAGATCACAGATACTGAAAGGTGAATGATGGTTGCCATGGGCCATGGTACAGGATGGGGAGTTAGTGTTTAATGGGTATAGAGTTTTCATGTTAAGATGATGAAAAGGATCTGCAAATAGATAACAGCAATGAGCACACAAAAATGTAAATATAATTAATGCCACCAAACTGTACACTTAAAAATAGTAAAAATGATCAGTTTCATATTTGTGTATTTCACAGTTTATTCTCTTCCCACAGGACCCTCCATCTAAGACACTATGGCTCTGACCCCAGAGTTAAGCAAAAAGACCCACCTGAAAGAGGTGGCAGGGATCCCCCTGCAGGTTGCAACTGTAGACAACTGGAGGCAGATCCAGAGCTTTGAGGCCAAGCCAGATGATCTCCTCATCTGTACCTACCCTAAATCAGGTGACTGTGGGCAGGGCAACAGCACAGACCTCCCCTTGCTGAGCCAGGCTGGGATCCTCAGCCAGATGGAAAACCAGCTCCTGGTGTCCCAGGACAGCTGGTGCTCAGATGCCAGGTATCCCTGGCTTTTTGGGGGACCAGCACAGTGGTACTGGAGGCCACATCTGCTGTCCTCTGCCACACACTGCTCTTGGGCAGAGCCAATATTTCCTTCTGTGGCTCTACTCCATGCAGAGCTCCAGACTCCTCCATCAGTCCTGACCTGAGAAGATGTTGAAGTTACCAGTGTCCACTCCCTTTGTTTACTCAGGACACTCCAAGGCAGATTATCTAACAAATTTTTGCTTTTCATCCCTCCCTTCTGACCCTCAGGTACAACATGGATTCAGGAAATTGTGGACATGATTGAACAGAATGGGGACATGGAGAAGTGCCGGCGAACCATCATTCAACACCGCCATCCTTTCATTGAGTGGGCACGGCCACCCCAGCCCTCTGGTATGGACCTTTCCTTCCCCGTGTGGTCTTCCTTCTTTCTCTGTCTCTGTCCTCCCTCTCTCCCTTCTGTTTCTCCATATCCTTTCTCACTCCCCACCATGCCAAAAGTGAATCACCAAGAAGGATGTGTGAGAGTCCTGTTCTACATTTATTTCTTCTTAAGCCCTCCCTCTAGTCATGTGCAACTGGTAGAACCCAGAGAAAGTACAAAGGCTACATGTTGAGGACCTGTCTCAAAGAAGGGGGGGGGCCTAAGCAAGATTTCTAATGAGGTGTTCTTGCATAGAGCCTCCCTGAAGTCAACTGCAGCAGCTGTAAAATTTTGCAAAAGCATGGTGACTAATTGCCCTGCTTGGCATGTCATCCAGTGACCATGGAGGCTCTTTATGAAACAAGGTGCCTGTGTCTAAAGAGTAATAAGCAGTCTCAGATTTGGATTCTTCTCAGCTGCAGGCAGACAGACAGTGGGTCAAAACTGGCTATGCAAGTAGATAGTCCCTGCCACAGAGGCAAGGACCCCGAGAGGAAAAGGTGCTCTGACAGACTCATACATGTGAACTGAGGCTCAAAATCCCCTCGAAGGACTCGAGTGCTGGGACCTAGCTTAGTGAATGAGCTTGTCAGTGTGTCTCCCATGCCCCCTTCCACTTCCACCCAACTCTAGCCAAAGAGTCATTATTGCGCGTAGGGTCTATGACCTAGCAGGCACAGGTTTGGAAAGACTTTGTGTTTTTTCTCCTCTCTCTCTCTCTCCCTCCCTCACTCCTTCCCCCCCTCCTCTCTTTGCATGTGGGGGCGGAGGGCAAGAACTACATACAAGTCATCTAGGAATGACCCATTCAGTGTAATAAACATTTTTACTATGTTTATATATGTAGTATAAATAATCATGTCTGTCTGTCTGTGGCTGAGAAGACCCAAAACCTGTCCATAGAAATAGGCACCTCATTTCAAAAGAGCAGCCTTGGCCTCTGTATCACAAGCCAAGCTGGGCAATTGGTTACCACGCTTTCTCAAAATACTATGGGCCTTAGATTGCTTGTAAGACCTCATACCTCCACTGGTTCTCAATAAATTACGGTCTCATGAAGAGACAAGTACAGACCATGTAATGACAAGTGCTGAGTGTATTAGACAAAAGCATTGAGTGCTCTGTACACAATGAGGGACACATGGCCAGAGAACACTCACAGAGGGGATATCCAGAATGATCAGCTGTTACTTTCATTGCTGAGTGTCTGCCTGTCTCTCCTGCCAAACCACAAGCCCCCTGAAGGCAAAAACCTCATGCTAGCAATTTTGTTACTCCCAGGAGCCCATGTTCACAGCAATACTATTCACAATAGCCAAGGGACAGAAGTCACATGAGTGTTCATCAACTCATGAATAAATACAATGTATTATATCCATACAATGAAATGGTATTCAGCCCTAAAAAGTTTATTCTGAACATGTTACAACATGATGAACATTGAGTATCTCATGCTAAGTGGAATAAGCCAGGTAAAATAGGATAAATATCGTGATTCTTCTTTTATGAATACTTAAGGTAGTCTAATGTAAGTAGAATGGTGGTTTCCAGGGGCTGGGAGGAGAATTTGGAGGAGTTGGTGTTTAATGGGCACAGAGTTTCAGTTTGGGAAGATGAAAAAGTTCTGGAGATGGACAGGGTGGTTGATGGTCAAACAACAAGATTACACTTAATGCAACTCAACTGGTTAAGATGGGGCTAAGAGTGCAACTTAGTAATAAAGTATGTGTTTAGCATGCTCAAGACCTGGATTCAATCCCCAGCACCAAAAAAATTATTATTATTATGCTTTTACCACAACACACACACACACATACAACATACAGCTTGGAGAACAAGTATGAAAACCTGGGGGTTATTAGAGAACACCTAAGACTCCCAAGCGAAGAGTCCCTTAGTCAGAGCTGCTCAAAAGCAGCCACAATTTGAAAGCACCAGGGCCACAGACTTCAAGGTACTAGTCATGGGAGAGCCAGCTCCCACGCTGAAGGGCTTGGTCCTCATCCTTTCTCCTAGGACCTGCACAGAGACTCCCTATTCCTTAGGGTTGGGAGAACAATCAACCCTACAATGTGGAAAGATTAGCCAAGGCTCAAATTACAGCAAAGGAGAGGAGTTTGCATACAAGATAACATTCTTGGCACCAGCTTTGTAAAAGGCAAAAGGGGCTACAGGTGCAAACAGAATAAATGATAGGGTGCAGAGAGGTATCTTCTCCACAGGTTCCTTTCTGACCCACCCATCCTTGGAAAACAAGGTGAGGGCCTGGCTATTTGGTTGCCTCAAGGGTCCTTGGATTATGGTTTAGGACTGGAGATCTGGTCACCTGCCAGACCTCACACCACACCAAATGAGGTGGGAGGTCATATGGAAGGTTACTTCATTATTTCTGCAGCACGTTTAAAATAAAATGCTATTTTATTATCAGTTCTTAATTCCAATTTTTAGTAATACCCTCCTCCATGTGCAGCTCCTGACCCTTTACACAGGAAGATTTGTACCCATCAGGTACATATCAGGGCCCAAATTCAAGTGTGCCACCTAACAGTATCAATCCCTTGGAGAAATTTTAGTTCTCGGTACTAACTCCACTTGGCTCCCCACTGGCATTATTTGCACAAGCCTCTGATTCCTACACTAGAGTGGAAACTCCATAGAGAGAAGTCTGCGTTCTCTTTCCCCTAACCTGAGTTTATACAATGATTGCATAGAGCAAGTGCCCAATAAGGGTATTTAGTGAGAGAGTAAAATCATGACTCATGTACCCAGCAAGTTTCTGTGTTTTTAGAGATGAAACAAGTGAGTTGTCTCTAGCAGGCAGAGAGGCAAGAAAGCACTGCTCTCTGGTCCTGCCTGGCTGTGCCTCAACAAGAAGCATTTGTCTGTTCTCAACTTCCAGCTCCTCATCCTTGAAATTAATTTCAAGTTCCCTTCCAGCTCTCAGGCTGGAAAGCAGTATCAATAATCTCACTGTGAATTACCAAAACAACATCAAGAGTCAAGCAGAAAGATAGGCAGGTGATGGTGTTGTAGGTTCATGCAGTCTCTGATCAAAAGATTCTCAAATTCTTTGTGTCCCATATGGAACAATCCAAGCAGGACATGTGGGTGTAGTAAAGGAAATAACAGAGTTTTATTACAGAAAAGAGGGAAAGGGGTTACAGTGCAGTCTCTTCCAGGTGGAATGGAGACATCCTGTGCAGGAAAAAGAGAAAGAATGATTTGGGGTCATTTTTATATCATCCTCGACTTAGAGGTGAGGAGAAAACCCAAGTCACTCCCTGTCTCCAGTGGCCTTGAGGCCAGGGTAGGGAGGATCTGGACAGATGCATGCATACACCTATGCTAATTCTCAAGTACCCGAACTCCATGCAGGAGGAAATTTCCACTCTCTCTAACTTAACAAAGGATTCACAGTTGAGTTGGAACTCTCTGGGCTCAGAGGGAATGGGTAAGGAAGAGGTGACTGAGGTGCTCTAAATCGGGCTGTACAGTTTTTAAAGTTCTAAACTTTCCCTAATGTCTAGACTGCCTCACTGGGGTATTCTGAACAGAACCTAGAGCTTAAGTCCCTATCAATGCTTATACCACACAGACATTTTCTCTTGAGTTGTTTTAAAGGTGTGGACAAAGCCAATGCAATGCCTGCTCCAAGGATACTAAGGACTCACCTTCCCACTCATTTGCTGCCACCATCTTTCTGGGAAAACAACTGCAAGGTAGGAAAACAGCAGCATCCTAAGAGCAGGAGGGAGTTTGCCCATTAAGAGTGAGGTCTCCAAACCCCAGCTCAGAATGCCCTGGGAAAATGCAAAGCTGCACACCAGCACAGGGCAGAAACCAAACAAAGCTTTTGGAGAGAGCAAGGTGTATGCCTTGGAGGGGGAGAGGGAGTGTTCCTTCTCTTCAGTGAGGCTGGCCATAGAAGGAATCAGGGAGGGCAGTGCCAACAGGATTCAGGACACAGCTCATGGCTAGAGCACAGAGATTGTTTAAAAGGTGAATGGACGGAGCCACATTTTTGAGAACACATTTGGCCACAGACTCTGGGCTACTCGTTTTATTTATCCTGGGTATTACTGAGCATGCACCTCAGTACCTAGTAACTTCCTGTTATACTGAGGTCACTGGAATGTTCTGCTGAATGTACAGGGGAAGGGAAGCCCTGCAGTGAGCAGAGCCAAAGGCCCAGAGGAAACTGTCAGCCTTGCTAGGAGGGCCACTGTTTTCTCAGAGGTAGGAATAAAGGGAAAAGAGGATATATTTCTGAAGGACAAGAGTGCAGTTGGAGAGACTCACATGATCAAAGGAGTTGACTTCTTTTGTAAAGCTGGGTAAGGGGATGAAAACTTCCATTTCCAGGATTATGGAAGACCAGATATCCTGAAACCACTTTGTGTGCAACACTGAGGAATGCTGCATGACATAGCACAAATGTTCTTGTAATTGCACAACTGACATCAAAATTAAGTAAGAAAAATCACTAAGTTCCAAAAATGAAGAGGGAAGTAAAACTCAGAGAAATCAAACTGAGCCTGGAGCTGTGCTGGGAGAATTGAGTTTTTATGGCTGCATAAGCACAGGATCAGAGTCTAGGTACAAGGAACCAGAAGAGTGGGAAGCAGAAGCTAGTACCGTGAAGAGCTACATCCTTGATAAGAAGATGGAGGGGGCAAAGGAGACCCCAAGGCAGCCTGTGAACTGGTTCTCGGTTCCCTGAGAAGGTGTAGCACAGGCCTCTTCTCTCAAAGTTTTGAGACTCAAACTGGCACTCCCTGCATTGTCCAAGAAACTATAGCTGAATACCACTCCTAGGGATATACCCGAAGGAATGCGACTCAGGATATTACAAAGGCACCTGCACACCCATATTTATTGCAGCACTATTCACAATAGCCAAGTATGGAAACAGCCAAGATGATCCACTACTGATGAATGGTTTAAGAAAATGTGGTATTTATACACAATGGAATTTTATGCAGCCACAAAGAAGAATGAAATTTTGTCATTCGCATGTAAATGGACGGAACTGGAGAACATCATTTTAAGTGAAGTTAGCCAGGCTCAGAAGGCCAAAAATCACATATTCTCCCTCATATGTGGATTATAGACCTGAAACAAATGCAGTAATATTATTGGACATGAGTTATACACTAAGGGGGGAACATGCACAGAAGGAATAGGGAAAGAGAAGGAAACCAAACACTTGAACGTGGTTGATGTGCTCACTGTATAGAAGCAAATATAGTAATCTTAAATTGGCAGAGGCCACTATGGGAAGGGGACCAGGAAGTAGTGAAGAGGTCTGGTAGAGATGAACCAATGTGGGTTGTAATACACATGGGCATGGAAGGAATTCTAGAAATCTCTCTATATAGTTATTCTTATCTCAAACTAGCAAAAACGCTGTTTTTCTTATTATCTCTTATGTTTTCTCTTCAACAAAATTGGAGAACAAGACGGCAGAACAGGTTCTGCCCGGAGGCGGGGGGGGGGGGTGGGGGGGGAGAAGGGGGGGGCAGGTGGGAGGAGGGAAAGGTGGCCCAAGTAATGTATACACATGTAAGTAAATGTAAAAACAATAAAATTTTAAAGAAAGAAACTATAGCTGACAAATCAGTATAAGTTGGCCCCACTGCAGTGTCCCCAGAATACCTGGCAGAAACACAGATCCTCTCTGGAGGGAGAAAGCTTCAGCCCCAGCTCTCCCCAGAATTCCCACTTGAGGCCACCATCCCACTTTACAAAATATAGAAAGTAACATGCCACTGTGAGAGTCTTCAGGAAGAACAAATAGCAATTAGACCTCAAGACCTTCAAATAACAAATTTATCAGACGAGAGAAGAGGTAAGAGAATGATGTGAAATCTGTGTGAAAATGAAACGTTAAATCAAAAATAAAGCAAGTGAATAAGATAGCTATTAGAAGCAGGTTTTTAAATGGGGTTCCTATTACTGAAAATATATAGTCATTAAAAATTAAAAGTTAAGAATAGGCTACATGAAAAATACATACAGCTGGATAGAGATTCATGAGCTTGAAGAGGGGATGGGATGAAGGTTCAAGAACAGAGGAGAATCTTGTGGCTGGAGAAGGAGCAAGGAAATGATTTCAAAATGTCAAGCAACAATGAAAGGAAAGACAACCTGAGGTTAAAAAGTTGAAGAGTGCAGGTAAATTTTTTAAATCAACATTTTTAAAAACCCTTCACTGTAGCTTGGTACCACCTTGATACATTGGAGATGATGGGTGGTAGGTCATGGAAGGTGGTGACAACATCACCAGAGCAAGGTCCCCAACCTCAGCACTGGCTTAAAGGGCCAGATTTTTGTTTATTCAGATATGGTAAGACACACAAACACGGAAATGACTGTCATAGAAGAAAAGGTCTATGTTGATAGATCCCTAGAAACAGGAGGGGCAGTATGCCATACAGGGCATACTGTATGAGGAGAAGTACCAGGGTCAATCAGGAGGCAGAAGGAGTAAGAGGACAATGTGGGCAAAAGTCTTCATTGTGTTTTTTTCAGGAAGGATCAGGAGAGGCATGGTAAGCTGGCTCGGGGTTGGCTGGTTTAATTAATTTCAGTAGGCTCTGGAGCATAAGGCTGTGCCTCGTTGCCTGGTACACAGGCAACTAAATGCACAGAGTCTGAGAGCTCCATAAAGGAAGTAATTGGGCTATGGGCCCTGGTTTGGTACATATGCGTCTTTGCTGCCTCTAGGAATGATCTACTCCTGGGAGGGGGCAGACCCACTAGCATTCTCAAGTCCCCAAGATGTCAAAGTATAAGAATAAAAAAGATGAAAAACATGATTTATATAGCACAGCTGATATTTTAAGCCAGCTAATTCTTTCTTGTGGGTGTGAGCAGGGGGCTTATCTGTGCATTGTGGAATGCTACAGCATCTCTGACCTTCCACTCATTAGATGCCAGGAGCACCACCATCTCTAGTGTGGAGGCCAAAAGTCTCCACACATTACCCAATACCCCCTAGTGGGAAAAATCATCCCTAACAGAAAAGCAATGTTGTAAAGTGAAGATCAGCACAGCATTGAAATGGCTGGTGGTGGGTCCAGCATGGCTAGTCAAAAAGCCACTTTGGAACTGATGCTGTAAATGACAACTGAGTGCCTATCTTGTTTTGTCACAATGAGATGAAAGGTCAAACTTGGTTAAAATGAAAAGTTGCAAAGAGGGGAGACATGAAATTGTGGTCAAAGTGAAACATAAAGGAATGCTTTGTAGGGGCAAAGCTGAAGTGACTAGAGATGGAAATAACAGAGTTGGGGAGGCCAGGAGAAAAACAGCAGCTATTTTCTTATTCTATGACCATGAATCTATCCTGCTTCTAAGGGAATCCAAAATAAGGTTGCTGGAAGTCTCACTCACACTCATGTGGCAGCTTCTTAGTCAGATGACAGGCCATAGCTGCTAAAGAATTTGCTCTGGATACCAAAGAGGAAAACAGGAATCAGGCTAACTGATTAACAAATGAATAAGGACAGCTGGGAAATAGAGCAAAATTGGCAGAGCACATGCCAAGTGGTATAGTCCGAAGAAGAGAGCTGAATGGGTGTTGCAGCTACCCTCAGGAGGACTTAATCCAAGTGAACTCTGTGAAAATCCATTTCTAATATCATCCTCACCCACCTCTCTTCTAATCCCAAAGTTCCTTTATGTAGCTCGAAATGCCAAAGACTGTATGGTTTCCTACTACCATTTCCAAAGGATGAATCAAGTACTCCCTGATCCTGGTACCTGGGAAGAATATTTTGAAACCTTCATCAATGGAAAAGGTAAAGAAAATGCTTCATACTTGTGTTAATTTTTTGTCACTATGACAAGTAGTTGAGAAAAACAATTTAGAGGAGGAAAGATTTATTCTGGCTCTTGATTTCAGAAGTTTCAGTCCATAGTGGGCTGGCTCCATTACTTGGAGCCAGCAATGAGGCAAAACATCATGGTGGTGGGAGTGTGGTGGAACAGAACTGCTAATTTTATAACAGCTGGGAAGCAAAGAGAGAAGAAGGGGCCATGAACAAGATATCTTCAAAGGCACACCCCCAGTGACCTTCAAACCAGGCCCCACCTCCTAATAATTCATTCAGTATGAACTCATAAGTAGATTAACCCATTGATGAAGTTAGAGCCCTCATGATCCAATCCCTCGAAATAGCACAAAGAATGAATTATCTGGCTCAGAATGTCAGCAATGTTGTATTAATCATGTTTTTTATATTCTATATTCTGGTACTTTGACATCTTAGGTCCTTGTTGATCCTAAAGGATCTGTTCCTCCCAAAATAGCACATTACTAGCTGAGGAACAAGAACAGTAACACACAAGCATTTAGGAGACACATCATATCCAAACCACAACAACACCCCTGAATTCTAACTCCAGAGAGGCTGTGTCAAGGATATCATACATGACATTTGATTCCCTGGATTTGTCATGTGCCTGCTTAAGCAAATCCTACTACTAGCTGGGACCAGGTTAAGCAGGTCAGCTGCTTTCAGTACCAGACTCACAACCCTCAAAAAACATTTCCCACCTGATTAAAAGTCTTTTTTGTAGGTCACCTGTCCTATCAAACCACACTCATTCCAGAGGGTATCCCTGTCCCAATATGAAGGTATGTGACTACATGTAATCAACACAAAGTCACATAGCATGCTAAGGCAAATACTCCAAAGTCATCCCAATCCATATGACCCTCAAAATTCAACACCTCAGGACCCTTAGGATATGTCTGACCCAGAATTTGTCCTTTACTCTCTCCAATGCACTTCACATCAGTAAAACCCCCAAGTCCCAGAAGGTTTTGTGCAATCCCTGTATAGCAAACTGTTCTTTCCTGTCTGTTACAGTGGGTTGGGGATCCTGGTTTGAGCATGTGAAAGGATGGTGGGAGATGAGAGACAGGTACCAGATTCTCTTTCTCTTCTATGAGGACATAAAGAGGGTGAGTAAAAAACCATGTCAGACTCAGGCAGAGAAACCTGAGGCTATTGCAGGGCTTACTTCTTGGAGGGAGGGAGGTCTGAAATAATTGAATCACGTCTTTCTAAAACTCTCTTCCATCCCAATCCAATGTTATCCCCACCATAGGACCCAAAGCATGAAATTCAGAAGGTGATTAAGTTCATGGGAAAGAATTTGGATGAAATGGTGCTGGATAAAATTGTCCAGGAGACATCTTTTGAGAAAATGAAAGAAAATCCCATGACAAACCGTTCTACAGTCCCCAAATCTATCCTGGACCAGTCCATTTCCCCCTTCATGAGAAAAGGTCTGTGGCCTCTTTATTAAATACTCAGCTAGTCAAGATGATGTTGGATCTTATTAATTTCAAGCAAAAAATCTCAATTGTTTATCTATTTTGTGGTAATGTCGGAGGGCTCAATACGGTTGTAGATGAGAGTACTATAAACAACAAAGCAAATGTGATTTTGTAGAAAGTAAGGACAGAGAAACTATTAGTCCAGACCTCAGGGGGAACCTTGGACCTATGAATCTGAGGCTTCAACAGCAGTAGACCATGGCTCTTTGTTCCAAGAGTGGCAAATAAGGAAGTGGGATAGTGAAGTCAGCAGAGCAACAGTTCTCAGGGCAGCATGACCTTGTAGTTATAGGGAACAGGGGGAACCTGCAATCGCTACTTTCTGCACATACTGTTCCTGTCTGAAGGTCATGGTGTAAACACCCTTATTCTTGCACAAAGCAACTGTGCTGCCTTTTGCTCTTGCTCCCTTCTGCAGCTAGGGGCCGTGCCCATCCCAACCTGCAGATTATTCGACATGGCTGTGCTCATGTCAAGTTCTCATAGGCATCTCATAATCTGCTCTCTACAACTGCCAAAGTATATGCCTGCCTTTCTTCACTGGCCAGCCTCCTGTCTCTCCTTCTGTTGTAACTATTTCCTACTCTCTAGCTTCTGCTGGCGGATAATTTGGTCCTTACCTTGGCCCAAACCTGCTCTACAAGATTCTCAACAACTGCTGCAGAGAACCACCTTCTCTTAATATTCCTTAGCTCTAATTCCCGAAAGAGGAATTTTAATGTCCCAGCTTATGTTTCTTAAGGGAAATAATCCTTCCATTTTTATTTAAAAAGTAATACATTAAGGGAGGTAGGGAGAGAAGTGGCACAAACAATGTATACACATGTAAGTAAATGTAAAAATGATATAAAAGGAGAAAAAAAAAAGTAACAAGTTAAAAATGTTAACATTAAATCAATACAGAATTGTCTATTTAAAAAAGATCTCCACCAAAACTCCACTCCAAAGAAGTAACCACCAACAGATCTGGCACAGAGGCTCAAGTAGTAGAGTGGCTGCCTAGTAAGTGTGAGCCCCTGAGTTCAAACCCCAGTACTGCCAAAAAAAAAAAAAAAAAAAAATCTCTACCAAAAGTCTACTCTAAAGAAGTAACTACCAGCAGCATAGACTATCCTCCCTCTCTGTTTCATAAAAATGTACTTTTCTGTTTCACAACAGTGGAACTATGGTTTGTAAACTGCTTTGTAGCATCTTTTCTTCCTCTTTTTTTGACACATGATTTAATTCATTGCACTTTCCAAACTATATCATCCCACATTCTGCCTCTTTTCAAATAATCAGTGGTGAGGATTTAACCTTTTTTCTGGACAATATATACCTACCTTTCTATACTACTCTTTCTTTGTGTTTGCTCATTGCTTATATAAACACAAAGATATATACATATACACCATGATGGAAACTTGCTCCCAACACATAAAACAGGGTTACATTATATGCCTTTGCTAACCAGAATGTGAGCCATCCCTCCAGGGAAAGGCATGTGGGTCTATTTTTAGAGGTCCCATATTATGCCAAAGTGTGAATGCATCATGATTCACCCAAATATTTCTCTAATCATAGAAACTATAGTTGTTCTTGTTTTCATTTTTCATCTATGTATTATGCTACAATGAAAATTTTGTGTGTTAAGTCCATATCTACTGATGATGTTATAATTTCCCAGAAGAGGCACTGCTGGGACAAACAGTATTTTCCTACGTAAAATTATTTTAATTACTGCTTGGCGAAAAACAGTATATTATTCTAATTGTTTCCAATATTTTCCATTGAGATTAATCCACATTCAAAAAGTGCACAGATCTTAGGTATACAGTTCAACAAATGTTGATAAACATATGCAGCCATACACAACTATCACCCCAATCAATATAGCAAACATTTTTAGCACCCCAAAAAACTCCCTCTCAGGTGTCTTTCTAGGCAATCTCTTCCTGCCAAGACAACCACTGTTCTAATCTCTTACCACAGATCAGTTTTGCTTGTTCTTGGATATCACGTGCATGGGGTCACCTAGTAGGTATTTTCTTATGCCTGGTGTCTTCGATCAGTGTTATCATCTTAAGATTCCTCCATGTGGTTGTTTGCACATTTGTTTTACCTCTGTGAGTGTCCAACGTGTGAATGTACTGAAGATGGGGCAAGGTTGTGGCAAGTTACCAGTGCCATTTTATCAGTGGTATTCCTCATTTAGAAGTATATACTCTTGTTCAGCACCCCTAAGTCTGCTTCTCAGAGTTAAGAGCTACATCTGTTGAAAGGGGGTTGGGTGAGGCAGACTATTGACAAGTTAGCCCCAGTGTGATTATTCCATACTCTATTTAGGACCTCCAGGCCTGTCAATCAGAGAGTGATGTTCCTGGACCTAGTAAGGTAGCTAACACCTGTAATCCTAGCTACTCAGAGAAGAGGATCAAGAAAATTGTGAATCAAGGCCAGCCTGTGGAAAAAGTTAATGAGACAACCCCCGCCTTTCAACCAATGGCCAGGGCTGGAGGAGGGGCTCAAGTGGTAGAGCACCTGCCTAGCAGGTGTGAGGCCCTGAGTTCACACCCAGTACTACCAAAAAAAATTAACTTCAACAAATGGCCATGCACAGTGGTATATGCCTGTCATTCCCAGCTACATGGGGAAGCATAAATAGGAGAATTGTGGTCCAGGCAGGCCTGAGCATAAAGTAAGAATCTATCCAAAAATATTCAAAGCAAAAATGACTCACAGAATGGGTTGAGTAGCACACCTACCTTGCAAGCACAAAGCCCCGAGTTTAAACCCCCGCCCTCAGTACAAGGGAGGAAGGCAGGAGAGAGAGAGAGGATGATGCTTCTATCTGGACTTTCATCTTCTAGGAACAGTGGGTGATTGGAAAAACTACTTCACTGTTGCCCAGAATGAGAAGTTTGATGAAATCTATAGGAGAAAGATGGAAGGAACCTCCATAAACTTCTGCATGGAACTCTGAGCACAAGAACACAGATGCTGTCTTTAGTCTTCAGCTTCAACCAAAAGAGTTTCTGCAAACACATTGCAAATATATGTGATTGTGATAAACACTATCTCTGTGATTAATAGTGTGTCACAATTTGTAAAAAAGGATTGTATCCAATGCCTATTTTCTCCACTATTCTTTGCAATTCAAGACATAAGACTGCTTAATAAACTAAGTAAAATTTAAGACTTGAATACTTTAAGGATTTTTGATCTCCATTTTTCTAGAACGTATACACTAATGTCCTAGTCTGTAGTAGAATAATACCTTGAGTGCAAGTACACAAATACTAAATTATATTAGTAACATGAAATGTCTGATATCAGTGTACCCTGGTTACTCAGGCAATGTTGGTCTAGACTTGATCCACATTCTGTCTGGTCACTATAGGAAGACATACTTTAAGGGCAACCCTGGCAGGAAATGAAAGGCAAGGGCACAGAAGAAGTGTGAGAAGTCAAAACCCTAATTAAGGAAGTCTGATGCTGGTCATACAGGAACAGAAAGCATGAAGGAAGACTTTTGGGAGCCCAGTTTGTATCCTGACAGAAAATAGGATGCAGGACTGGTGTCCTCAATGTCACCTCAAGTGTGATGCTTGGCTTGGAGACAACTAGGCCTTTGCATCCACTGCCATGCCTTCTGGGGAGAGACTCCTAATCAATCCTGGTGTCATTTTCACAATTCCCATATTTTCCCACTTGTAGCCCTGTTGCTCTGTATGTAGTTAACAATTTACCAATATCCCCTCTAAATTGTAAGTTCCTTGAGTCCAGTTCCATATCTTATTCTCAATGCCTGATGCAATGGCATGTGAACTAAGAACTTGTACAAGTGAATGAAGGCATATAATACAGGAAAACAGGCACATTTCAGGGCACAAATTCCCAACTCTGACCCTTTTCTTCTGGTCCCAAATAGTGCCATCCCAAAGCTGAGAGCAGTAGGAGCAGTTTGCTCTAGGACAGGAATCAGAGGGTCCATTACACTAGCTAGAATTCTGACAGCTTTTCATCACTGCTACAGTTTGGACCTGGCATGTCCTCCAATGGTTCATGTGGTAAAGGCTTGGTCCCCACCATGGTGATATAGGGAGATGGTGGAGCCTTTAGGAGGTGGGACTAGTGGGAGGTATCCAGGCCACTGGGCACATGTCCTTTGGGGAATAGGATCCCTCTTTCCTCTTCCTTCCTCTTCTTAGCCAAGAAGTAAGCAATTTTGCTTCACCACAATCATAATGTGTTGCCTCTCACCAGAAGTCTCAAAGCAATGTGTCCACAGATCATGAAGTAAAGCGCCAAAATTGTTAGCCAAACCTTTATAAGTTTGGTTGTCTTTATAGGATGGTTAACTCAGGTATTTGGGCTTTGGGGTTGTTTGTAGTACTAGAGTTTGACTTCAGGCCTCATGCTTGCTAGGATGGCACTCTACCACTTGAGCTGCACCCCCAGTACTCAGCTATTTATTATGTGGTTGGAAAGCTAACTAACACAATCACTTTGCACTGGCAATTCTAAATAATGTCATTAATAAGATACTCCTCCCTAATAAAAAAGGAAAAATTAAAAAACTTCTATTGGCCTAACTTCTAAACAATTCTTTGGTTGCTGCTGAGTTTTACCATATGTATGTGTATTCAAATTAACACCTTTTTATTTGTAAAAGCAGTTGTCCATCTCCCCACTGGATTGTAAATTTGTGTTGTTTGGTTCTGTGATTTATTCATCTTTTTATGAAAGATGATTCAAAGATTCTCCAGGCATGGGTTCCATCCCTCTAACTCCAAACCAGGCAGAGGAAGCTACATCTGCTTTCTTTCAAGGTTGTCTCTCCAACCATGTAGTTTTGAATATCCCTGCATTTAACAGTAGATACAGGATTAAACAGTGGTAGCACAGTGATTATAAAGGCAAAGGTGCAACCTTGAGTTTCTTTAGTTCTGTCCTTCTCTGTGACTACTTGGTGTTTTCATTTGTATTCAAATTTTAAAATGGTGAAATTGGAAAGAGTAAGTTGCAAGGCATGTTATATTAGTTTAGTAAGTACAAAGTTGTGTTTATTTAGAAAATAGTTTTACTAGTTTTGAGTAACAGCTTTAAAATTGAAGTTTAATCTTTTCTAATTGTTAATCATTTATTTTAAAACTCAATGGATCAAGAAAATGAAATATTATATTAGCAATATGATTATCTTATTTGAACTTTTTATAGACATTTTAATTTTGTTAGAATTGACTCATTGTGATTTTTTACTGGCATGATTCCATATACAAAATTGAATAAAAGTTTGACTACATTTCTTTACTAATGATTATTTTTATGTTTATATTCATGAGTAATACTGATACTAATTTTGTCATATAGGAAAAGTACGTGGTAAAAATGCTTCACTCTAAAGTCAGATATGGCCCCAACTCACTACATTCTGACTAGTTGGCTAGCTGGCTGGTTGGTTGGTTGGTTTTATTTAAGAAAATATTACTTAATGGCATTTGTTAAATCATGGTAAAGCATATTTTATTCAGGACCATCACAATGGGCATAGAGTTCATGGAGATGAGGTGTTACAGTGGGGGCTTAGCATGCACTGAATGGATGGTCAGGCAGATGGAAGGACAGGTTAGCATCTAGGTTGATCGGTGAGTGGATAGATAGGGAAATTAGTGGGACAGGACACCAAAAGCCAATATGCGTGAGAAACCAAGGCATCTACCGGACAAGCAACTGTATCTGCACTAATTACAACACAAGAACATATATGACTAATCATACCAACATGACCACCAACCATAATATGATTCATCTCAACACTAGCATAGACTAATCGAGCTCTATTCCATCTAAATGAAGGTGAATCTGAGCTAGTATCTGGGTTTAATGTAGAATATGCTGCAGGACCACTCACACTATTTTTCATAGCAGAATATACAAATATCAGCATAATAAATGCACTCACAACAACTCTATTGTTAGGAGCATTTTACAACCCCTTAGCCCCAGAACTGTATCAGTTAACTTCACTGTCAAAATTTTATGCTTAACAGCACTTTCCCTATGAATTTAAGCATAATTTGCTAACTGCCTTTGTCATAGGAGCAGCAGAGTAATTCTGCAGACTGTGTAGTATTTCATACTCATAAGGGTAACACAGTAAGCCTCCAACTGGACTTATCAGACAGTCCTGTAGAAATCAGTGCTACAGCCACAGGGCAGCAATATTTGGGTCAAATAATCCATTAAAACCCACAAGTCAGATTTGTCAGAATTAAGTCTTTGGACCTAGTAATATTTTGGTTTCATAAGAAAAAAAATGATGGTATGAGAAGCAGAAAGAAATATGAGTAGCATCAGAAATCTTAGTGATATTATATTTTAGGATATTTGCTTGAGGCAAGATATACAAGGAATCAGAGCATTCACAACTTTTCATCTATTGTACACCAAAAAGGAACCAGAAAAGATGTCTCATTGGAAAGAAAGAATGCAAAATCCAAGACAGAGCTGCCATGTCTTCTAGACCAGCTCAATGGAAGGTTCAGCTGACAGAAATAAAGAATGAGAAGCAGTAAAGGTCTTCTGAGTCTGTGGCTGGGCTGAGGTTCGCAGAAGAAGCAGAGTGTGGTGCTGAGAGCAGCTGAGGTCTAGGTTTGAGTCCACTGCTCTTTGTCTACTAAGGGATATCTCTGGCTAGTTATCTTCCCCTATAGTCCTGCCATGACATCTGAGAGAAGTAAGGTGGTACCTTACCTTCTCACTGGGTTGTTACAGGCATTAGATAAGTTAATGTATGTGAAGTTCCTGGCACAAAATATAGGCTTAACTGATGGTATTGTCTTAGGCATTTTATTTATCAGACACTTGAATATGCTGGGAAGATTTAGGTTTAGAGCTGACAGACCTGGGCCAGAAACAAGCTCTTATATTATAAGGGGTATTTTTCATTTGGAAAGTTATTTACCCTGTTTTAAGATAATAATACTTGATACATAGGCTCTAAATTTGGAATAATATAAAATAACCCCATGTTATATAATTGAAGGAGGTCATCAGTATATTAGGTTTGTCTGCAATTAATGACAATCCTGTGCTTTCTTTTGTTGTTTATTTGTTTTGAGACAGTTACTCACTATATACTGCAGTCTGGCCTCAAACTTGCAATCTTCTCACCTCAGACTCATGAGTGCTATAATTACAAGCATGTACCACCATGCCCAACTAAAGACCAGTGTTTAAACAACAGAAATTCATTAGTCTCTGGCATTAAGTCCAGATGTAGATGTTCTGGGGCTGCTCTAAGCCAGCTTCCTCTAAACAGCTTTCATAGCCACCAATTTACTTTTTTTTTTTTTTTTTTTTTGGCAGTACTGGGGATTGAACTCAAACCAATTTACTCTTATCTGTAATAACTAACACTGATGAAAAGGAGCATATTGAATGTTTACAAATCTGATTAAACATTAGTTCTGGGTGTGTCTGTGAGGATTTTTTGGAAGATAAGTATTTGAATTGGTAGACTAAGGAAAGCAGATAGCTCTCCCCAGTAGCTGGGCATCATCCAGACTGCTAAGGGTTGGAAGAAAACACAAAGGTGGAAGAAAGCTGGATTTGCCCTCCCTCTATTCCAACTTTTAGGAATGGAATATTAATCTTATCCTATCCTTGGCAGTCCTGGTTCTCAGATTTCTGCACTGAAATCTATAGCAAAAGCCTTTCAGGTTTCAGGGCTTTGAACCACACCACTGACTTCCCTGGGTCTCCAGTTGGCAGATGGCAGATCTTGAAACACCTCAGCTTCCATAATCACATGACCCAATACTTTATAATAAATAGAAGACAGATGATAGATATACAGACAGACAGACAGATAGTTAGTCAGCTTTCCATCATTGTGACAAAATACCTGGAAGAATCAACTTAGAAGGAGAAAGATTTATTTTGGCTCATGGTTTCAGAGGTTTCAGATGTGCCCTTGGCCCA